TGGAAAGAAAAACTAAATACCTCGGATCTAAGAGAAATACAGAACGAAGATAAACAAAGAATGTTTGCCAAGTATATAAAAAACAAACTTACATTCTCACAACAAATCAAACATGTCTCCATTTAAAAACATGGTCATACGAACCATATGAAACTTAGCGAATGAAGGTGAATATGTTGGGTTTGAAACTGTTGAAGGAACTGTGAAAAACATAAAACACTTGATGAATCGTTTTATGGTGCGATTAATAATTAAATAATAAATAAAATAAGATCACAAAGATTCATGGGAACTTCTAGAAAACACCTGTATGTCATTAACAACTCATATAAAAATAAAACAGAAATATTATATGCCTGTTTGCGAATTTGTTGCCCGAGGTGTATTGCTTAAATGTCCTGGACACTGGTGAAAACCACATCAACCCAAATGTGTGGTCAGTTTGTTTTCGTGTGTAATGTGGTGGTTACTCTCTACACCCGCTTTCGAACTCGATGACCATACCAAAGGACCATGAATTGACGTGGCTTTGAACTTAGTTCGTCTGACAGTCAGTCAGGGAATCTTTCCTGATTCGTGTGTCTTCAAATTTAATGGACTTTCCATGAAATCTGGATACTGACAAATCAGTAAAGGTATATAATAAACTTCTGGTGGTGACTGGAGTTAGGATAAGTTCCGTTGTCTGAGAGACCACAGCGCCTACACAACTTTCAACGGTGAGCCGTATCAGGATATTATCCTCTAAAGCCAGAATTAATATTTTATATGATTATTCATGAGCTATCGCTAGAAAATTAACATAAATCAAGAATAAGATAATGCATCATGTTTTAGCGCCAATGAAACAGTAATTGATAATGTGAATGATTATCAATATAAAGTAAAGAAACATTAAAGACGTCATCGGATACGGCTGAGGCCACCATTTTTATAACTCAGCTCTACCCCCTCCCCAGTTGTTAAAATGTGTTGCCCCTTCACGAAACGTTGACTACCCCCTCAACCAGTTGTTAGAAGGTGTTGCCCCTTCACGAAACGTTGACTACCCCCTCAACCAGTTGTTAGAAGGTGTTGCCCCTTCACGAAACGTTGACTTCACAGAGAGTATATTTCTGTTGATGTTCTATAAAATTAAGATAACTGATTAACTAGAAGGAGTTAATTAAAACTTAAAACCCAGTTTAGTCAATGAAGTAGAAATAATATTTCGGTTTATTAAAGCCTAGAATAGCAAGTTTATTCAATTACATTGATGATGTAACGGTATCAGTATATATATATATATTAATACCTAAAGCAATTAATGGACTTTCCCACATAGACGATGTAAACAGCGTCTGGATATATGAAAACCTACAATATCTAATATATCCACTCACGTAGAGGACATAAACAGCGTCTGGATATATGAAAACCTACAATATCTAATATATCCACTCACGTGGAGGACATAAACAGCGTCTGGATATATGAAACCTACAATATCTAATATATCCACTCACGTAGAGGACATAAATAGCGTCTGGATATATCAAACCTACAATATCTAATATATCCACTCACGTAGAGGACATAAACAGCGTATGGATATATGAAAACCTACAATATCTAATATATCCACTCACGTAGATGACATAAATAGCGTCTGGATATATGAAACCTATAATATATCCACTCACGTAGAGGACATAAACAGCGTCTGAATATATGAAAACCTACAATATCTAACATATCCACTCACGTAGATGACATAAATAGCGTCTGGATATATGAAACCTACAATATCTAATACATCCACTCACGTAGAGGACATAAACAGCGTCTGGATATATGAAACCTACAATATCTAATATATCCACTCACGTAAAGGACATAAATAGCGTATGGATATATGAAACCTACAGTATCTAATATATCCACTCACGTAGAGGACATAAACAGCGTCTGGATATATGAAACCTACAATATCTAATATATCCACTCACGTGGAGGACATAAACAGCGTCTGGATATATGAAAACCTATAATATCTAATATATCCACTCACGTAAAGGACATAAACAGCGCCTGGATATATGAAACCTACAATATCTAATATATCCACTCACGTAAAGGACATAAATAGCGTCTGGATATATGAAACCTACAATATCTAATATGTCCACTCACGTAAAGGACATAAACAGCGTCTGGATATATGAAAACTACAATATCTAATATATCCACTCACGTAGAGGACATAAACAGCGTATGGATATATGAAAACTACAATATCTAATATATCCACTCACGTAGAGGACATAAACAGCGTATGGATATATGAAAACCTACAATATCTAATATATCCACTCACGTGGAGGACATAAACAACGTCTGGATATATATGAAAACCTACAGTATCTAATATATCCACTCACGTGGAGGACATAAACAGCGTCTAGATATATGAAAACCTGCAATATCTAATATATCCACTCACATGGAGGACATAAACAGCGTCTGGATATATGAAACCTACAATATCTAATATATCCACTCACGTAGAGAACATAAACAGCGTCTAGATATATGAAAACCTACAATATATAATATATCCACTCACGTGGAGGACATAAACAGCGTCTAGATATATGAAACCTACAATATCTAATATATCCACACACGTGGAGGACATAAACAGCGTCTGGAAAACCTACAATACCTAATATATCCACTCACGTGGAGGACATAAACAGCGCCTGGATATATGAAAACCTACAGTATCCAATATACCAATTCAGATACATGATGATGTAAACAGCGTCTAGATATATTAAACCCTACAGCAACCAATATAACCACTCACACAGAGGATATAAACAGCGACTGTATATATATATATTGAATGTTATAGAAAAACCACGTATCCACTCACCTAGAGGACATAAAAAAAAAGTGTGTGGGTTTATTAAAGTTTGTTATGTAATATAGTCACCCATAAACAGCTCCAGAATTTACTGTTCAGTTAAAAACCGCAATATTAACAGGTAGATATCTCGTGGACTCAAATATTTTAATACGACTAGCTGAGAGTACCAGTTAAGCAAGTAAAAACTGTATATTAGATGCTAATTCATGTATAATTGAATCATTTAACATACCAGGTGCTTATACCATTAAATTTAAAGCCCAAAATCTATGAAAAAAAAAGTGAAATTGTGTCCTATATGATGGTGCTTTTTATCCCCTTTTCAGACAAAAATCCTAAAACAATATTGCCCGTGTACATTATTCAATTTCCATACAAAATATTACAGTGATGGAGCTAACCCATACACACACACACGCACGCACATGTATATTGGATCATCTTTTGGGTAAGATGAGAACAGTGACATATTGAACTGATACAGTTTAATACTAATGGAGTAATACATATTAATACAATGTAAACAGGTATCTAATGGAGTAATACATATTAATACAATGTAAACAGGTATCTAATGGAGTAATACATATTAATACTAGGTAAACAGGTATCTAATGGAGTAATACATATTAATACAA